TGTTTATGGTATGAATGCTCCTTTAAGGAGGACTCTCTCCCAATTTAATGCTTATTCTTCATCTTTAGACTTCGATTTTTCTTACTCAAAGTTTACTTTTAAGAATTTACTCATAAGGCACTTGTCATAAGGGTTTCCCTTATTCTATGTATATATTTGTCACATAGTCTGTAAGCGTCCTGTTTGTTGATAATAATAATAATAAATAAATAAATAAATATTGCAATATGCAAACTTCAGGCTAAAAAGGCTCGCAAGTAAACTTTTTTTTTGCCTTTGCAAGGTCGTAGTAGATTCAGCGCTTAGTTATTACTTGATTATATATATATATATATATATATTACAGCTATGGCCAACCATTTAGCGAACTTGTACACTAAAGCCAAATCCGCTAAAAGTCGGAGTTAAGGTACTTCTATCAAACAAATTTGCTGTTAACATATTTCCTTGCTCATTACTTTATACAACCAACATAAAAAAGTTTATTATAATTCACTGTTAAATCTCTTTAAATGATGAACTGACTATCCATATATAATGGCGTGTCCACGCACATAGCGTGGCCATAAAGAGGTAAAATTTCAATTATAGTTGATATTAAAAAAGTTCTTCGGTGTTTTGTATTATATTCCAGAATTTTATTCGCTGCCTGACCTCCGCGCCCCCGATTTCTACAAACTTCCCCCATTCACGCCCACGTGTGTGGCTCCCTACTAAGAATTGCTTGCAGAGCATTGTGTTGTGCTCTTATGGTCAGCATTTGCGCCACGTCATGTTGTGATGTGTGTGTGGCGGTCGCTGTCCGGAGTGCTGTATTTTTAAACGTCTGAGCCTCATCGGCTGCGTTGTTGTTGTTGTTGTCAGTCATTGTAGTCCAGCTCAACTAACGGAAGCCCAGGAAGCGTGCAGCCTCAATGGGGTCGGTCCACAGCGATAAAGGCGTTAGCTGTGTCGGGGTTTCCGGGCCTACGAAGAGGTGCTTCGAGTCGTGGGGTGTCTCTCCGCATGCCGGACAGTCATTTGGCACATCTGCATCTAATTTGCTCAGGTATGAGTTTAACCTGCTGCAGTAGCCAGAGCGAAGTTGGGCTATTGTGGTTCTAGTCTCACGAGGCAGATGAAGCTCCGTCTCGTCGATGTCAGGTGGTTGCGTGCATAGAACGGCATTCACAGGTCTGGATTCTACATAACTCGAGAATGACTGTGAATACCGCTCAGGGCACGCAACCAGCTGACATCGACGAGAGGGAGCTCTAATAGGCGGCATACACGGTGCGTCTGGCTCGCGAGTTATTTGTGTACTTGTTGACTAGCCTTCGTCTACACACAGTTGTATCATTCAGAGTCATGCCAGGAATCATGTCGGTGTAACTAACACATATTTATTTTCACAAACACATCCAAACCGACTCGCGAATCAGACGCACGGTGTATGCTACCTATAAGGTTGAAGTGTTTTTAACATTACTGCTGATATGAATTTTTTGAATAGAAAAACACTTGGATTCAATATGGCGTAGGTCCCTCGCCTTTTTGTGACAACATGAAGATGCACACCACAATTTGGAGGAGAAGCTCCGCCAAAAACTTGACAAAGGTGTAAGCGCCAAAATATTATTATTATACTATTAATATTTGCAGTGACTAGGAAAAAACTTGGATTCAACATGTCATTCGAGTGATTTTAATTTGGTGTTTTTTTTTTATTTGATTTAATAATACTTAATGATCAGGTCTACTGTTGATATGAATTATAATGTGATCTTAGATGTATTAAACATATGCTCAATGGTTAAGGAACAAAAAAAAAATATTGCAAATATTAATTTTTTATAAGGCAAAACTTAGTTACTAACTAATTAATAAAGGTGTTTAAAACTAAGTTATCGAACTTATATAAACTGCGTTCCAATAAACTGGTACTTGGGAACCCTCCTACGAAATTTCAGCGAAATCGTACAAGATTTGATGAAAATATACCTGTTTTTTATAAAGATGCATTTAAAATCTGGAGTTTCCGGGAAACAAACAGCAGTGTTGAGCGACCTCTAAATCCTGTTCAAATAAGCTGAAATTTTAGAAAGAACTTGTCGTTCTTATTATCTTCAAGAATCCGAACGGTCAGACGAAATTCAAAAAAGTTCCAATTTTGAACCACCCTACTGCGCACTGAACTTTAGTTCTGCTAGTTTTAAAATTGGTGGTATCGAGGTTTTTCTTACACCAGCTGGTAGTTTGCTTTCCAATATTTCAAGCAAATATGTAAATGCAGCTTTCGGCAATAATTTTTCAAAACCTGTAAAATTGATGATTTAGTAAATTTCTTGGGAAATGTTTAGTTATTTGTAAAATGGTTTTGTGGCGTGGAGCGGAGGGAGAAGGGGTACCGTACCTAAAACCCCATCCATTACAAAGAGCACCGCCCAAACTTCAAGACAAGTCATCCTTCCCCTCTCTAACCCCTCTACAGACCCCGTGACTCATTTGAAAATGGGGTAAAATTAGCACTTCGATATAGAAACGGTAAACTCACAGTATTTTTGCACAGAACACCTTCCTCTTTGGCGGCTTTAGGCGGGCTTTTAGAAAAATACCCTCATCAGTCCAACTCCGGCTACGCTGACCACAGTATTTTTGCGCCGGCGAAAGCTCCGCTTCTGTTGTCATAGAAATTGTTGTATTCCTTGTGCATATAACTCCGGTTACGCCGTCCACAGTATTATTGCGCTGAACCAATATATCAAAATTTAGAAAAAACTGCATATTTAAAACCGGATTTATTAATAAACTAGTGCTCGGAAATCTTTATTTTAAACTAAAGTTTAATCCTTTTACTACACTTATATGTTAAAGTTTTTAGAATCGGGTCACGCGTTTGGATACAACAACCCAAAATCATTGTACAAATAACTAAACCGTACCGAATTTCTTAAACTAGTTAGTTGCGTTCCAGATACTCCACGATTAGCAGGTTTTTACAGAAAGGTGTTCCACTTGGCCACCTTCCATAAGGTTTACTAATGGCGAAAACAGCTTTTCCTGCAAAATCTGCAAATCCTGCAAATCGTGAAGCATCTGGAACGCAACTACTTTTCATAAAATTCACATATGTATGTACATACACTTCATCTTCCACCTTTAAGGGATTTGACGAATCTCGCGATTTCCTCCTTGCCAACTCTACTAATCTATTAAATCTATTAGCTTCCACGTCATCTTCCTCATCACTAAACCATATTTCAGCAGTATCTACTTTTTAAATTTTACAATAAAAACAATTATTTTAAAAATGATGTAAATGAAACACTAAAGAAACAAATGTAAACAAACAGGGAGCTGTTTACAATTCAGTCAACCATTCACAATAGTACACATTTTTATCGATCAAGTTGCACAATAGCAAAATAAAAGATAATCGACTAATCGACAAATTTCTATTCTACTGCTAGTCGACACGCAATAGGGGTGATAGTGTTTTAAAATAATTAATACACCTTAGTTATACGCAGCGTGACTTCGAGATTGATTGCACGTACCGACATCTTGTGCTTGTAATTTACTACATATATATAGGCGTACAGTTACTCTGTGCAGCTAGTGCTTCAAAGTTTTTCTTTTGCGTTTAATTTATAATTTTAATTAAATTTGTGCAGCGCCGTCATCGGATAGCGGAAAGTTGTGAGTATTTTGTATTCATACCTTGTTTTTTAAAAATTAGTGTACTCATTTTTCTTGGCCTACGGGGAAAATTTTTCTTTAATAAAGGCGTGGCCTACGGCACACAAAAAATCGGTGGCGGCATCGGTTGATGATTTTGAGAACTTTACAGCAAATGTTAATAATAAAAGGGTGCGTAAACCCAGAAAAGCGAATGATCTTTCAATAAATGAAAAAGTGCCTGAAAGTTTAATTTCAGAAAGCGTTAATAGTGAGTTAGTCACGAAGGTTGACTTAGTTAGCAAAAACGCGGGAAACGATGACAAAATGGAGGTCGAATCCATTGCGGTTGTTGAGAGTGCTGGTGTTAGTGCTGATGCTGGTGCGAATATTAATGCGAATATTAATGCGAATGTTCATGAGGGAGAACGTGCTTCACACGCTTATCCTAAAAATTTCAAAGGCACTTTCTTTGTGGTGGTTGATGCCACTGAATGCAAAGAAATTAGCAATGACAGAATTAAAAATGGATTGGCGCTTAGAAGCCGAATTAAAGACTTAAATTTCCTTGACATAGATCTCATTTTTGCGGTTGGCAAGACACTATTCACAGTAACCTTTAAGACTGCAGCTGCAGCGAACAAATTTTTAGCTTGTGAAGACTTAAAAAAACGTGGGCTGCGACCTTTCGTTCCCAACACGGCGTTTGAGTCATATGGGGTGATTAGAGGCGTACCTCTAGAATATGATGTAAATGATATTAAAAAATCTGCGCACTCCCGCATCCCAATCTCTTCTGTGTATCGGTTTACACCTAGAGAAAAAAAGAGTGACAATGAAGATATTTTTATACCAACTACCATTATAAAAGTTGGCTTTTTAGGAAAAGACATTCCGAAGTTTATCAAGTACGAATATACTATACTATAAGTTTCTTCTTACATTCCTCCTTTAAGGCAGTGTAGAAAATGTGGCAGGCTCGGTCACACGCAACTAGGATGCAAATCAAAGAGTAGATGCCTCAACTGTGGCAATCAGGAATGTTACAACGCTTGTAATCAACCAGGTTGCATTCTTTGCGGTAAAGAGGATCACAACTCCAAAGGCAAAGACAAATGTGGGACATGGCAAAAGGAGCTCATGATCAGCCGCATTAGGGCGGTTAAGAAACTTTCTAGAAAAGAAGCGATTGACACTTATTACCCGAACAGAAACAACAGGTTCGACATTTTAGAAAACGAGCAGGCTGGATTCCCTCAGCTAGGTACTGAAGAAGTGAATATGGACAAAAACCGGTTTATTAATAGAAAAATGACTAGGATGAGCTATAGCAAAGCGACAAAGATGCCACAAGTAGTGGAACCGGCGCCTTTTAGAAGCAACTTGACATCAAGGCAGTCGGTGGTTCAGCCTGTCTATGAAACGCCAGAATACAGTAAGAATAGGGTTACGCAAATGGAAAAATTATTGTCCGAAATTTTCAAAATTACGCAAAAATTGAGTATTGAACACAATCTAACACTAGAGCTTCAAACAATTCAAAACTTAAAATCCAAATATGACAGCACAGTCATTGAAGACGAGATAAGACATAAAGAACGTGTTTGCTGGCCTGATACCTGACTCGTGGTATATTCCTGGCTGACGCTGGTTTTTACGAGTTGTGCTCGGATTCAATCCTTAACTGGTGAGACTCCCGCTTGACTGAGGATATGTACCCAAACCACTCCTGGTCTAACCTCAATGCTGCGCAGATCCTTTAACAATACGTATGGCTGTGACTACCAATTGGTCGTACCAGCTACCAGGGATGCACGGATTCCTTCAGGAAAAATGTTATTTTGCGCAATCACAGATCAGGTGAGAGGGACAGACTACCGGAAACCGACGATCTTTAATATTTGCCTTAGGCCATCCAGAGAACTACCGCGTATACAATGCAAACGAGCTTCTTTAGTTCAAAGTGACTTCAACAGTATTTTATTGTTTCAAACAAAACTTATCGAATTAATTGCAACACAAGTGCGAGTTAATAAAAGGAGGGTTATTTGGCAAACCACGTCCGAATAATGCGGTAGAAAATTCTAAGTATAAAAATGCAAACAACTTCTGTCACTCGTTACTTCAACTAGTTAAGTACTTTGTGTATATATATGTGCTTACAAAGTGCTGAATGATAGTTGCCATCATTTGCCGCATTCACTACTATACATAGTCGCCTTAGTGGCCGTATTCACTATTCTAGTTAGTTCAGTACATGTTTGCGCAAGCTTTGTGTATTCAATAATGCTTGTCAATATGTAAGTATGTAATTCAATATACAAATTTAGATAAATTCAATTCTGCATACATGTGCATTAGACTGCATCACCAAAAAAAAAGTTGCGGTTTTTCCGCCGGGATTACACAATCTATTATATTACAAAATCTATTATATTTTAAGGCGTCCACCAAAATATTTCGGAAAAATATTAAGATTTAAACGAGCTGGACCGATTTGAAAATACCTCCAAAAATGGAGTTTTTTATGAATAAAAATAGTTTCTTAAAGAACTTTTTGAAAAAAGACCCCTCAGATGACAAAACAGATTAAGCTTAAAAAATCTGCATAAAAATATTTAAAAATCTCTTCAACGGAATCGTAAGAATGAGATTTTTGATGCTGCTTTTTTTACTTTTTTCAAAGATTGGTTTACGAAAAACTTGAATAACTGGGCCAAAAATGTTCTGATTTAGACTTATGGGATCTCAGTAGAAAGGTATTTTCACACTGTTTTTATTTCTGGCCAAAAAAACGTCATTTGTGTCCCATCTTGTTTTTTCGAATACCAACACATCTTAATTCAACTTTGAATGAGGTTCGTTCATCCTACCTTTCTCTTCCATCCTTTGAATGAGTTTATTAGCAAAGAAATAAAAAGGCTGAGAAAATACCTTTCC